GAACTCGAATGCACCTTTGATATCAATGCGGATGGCATTCTTAAAGTTACGGCAAAAGATAGAGCAACTGGTCGTAAAGCAAACATTACAATTTCGAATTCTGTTGGTCGACTGTCAGCGGCAGACATCGATCGCATGATAGTGGAATCGGAAAAATTCAAAGAAGAAGATAAAAAGAGTCAAGAAAAAGTAGAAGCCAAGCAGGATCTCGAGAATTATGTTTATCAGGTATTTTCATTTTCAAACTTTAAACGTCACAGGAAAACTTTGGAGTCTGAAAGATTATTTTCTCTTGTGATTAAAAAGATCGAGAATACACTTAATGAACCCAATGTTGCAATGAAACTGAAACGAAATGACAAGGAATCAATCGAAAAGGCACTTTCAGGTTTGAATCGATCTTTATTGATTATTATAATTATAATTATATCTGATTCGATTGGTTTATTTTTCTTCAGAGGCGCTCGAATTTCTTGATATTGCCAACGACTCTGTTGGCAAAGAAGAGATTAACGCTACGAAAAAAAAATTACAGCGCAGCGTCACTCGTGCATTTGCTTCGCTTAATCGCTAGCCATATCCATTATCAATTTTTTTCTACAAAGATGTTCAAAAAAAAATATATATATTATAATTATAATACATATAATAGATGAGGAACGCATAATACAAATTTTGGAATATTAAAATGGTCTATTTATTGTTATGAATTTCTTCGATACGTATAAATAAACGACGTGATTGAACGATTTTCAGGCCACATGACTAATTACGTAATATGTGTGTTTATGCAGGTTAAGAAGGTGACATTGAAATGGATGCCTGACCAAAGAATTTGACGCTCGCCACGTCTTATTTTTCAACTTACGCAATCATATAACGTGATTACTTGTAAGTTGCATACGCAGTGAGATTTCTTTCGTCATTACTTTTCCTTTCAGCTCTGCAAGATAGCGCGAAATTAAGGTTACCCCTACGGATCGTTAACCTGATTACATACAACATTGTAAAAGCAATATATCTAAAAAAAAACCCCGAAAGGGTGGTCTACTAAATCTCGAAAGATCTGCAGCAAGACGAACTATACCATATAAAGAATGGCAAAGACTACTGTTGAAGAAATATATAAAGCTTACGAGGAAATCGACAAAGCCGGTTCCAATTTTGAACAAGTAAGAGAATTCTTCTTTTCCTACGGTTGTCTGATTGCTCGTCCTAACCATATTCTTGTATGAAAAGGTCAAGAAATCATACGAGATAGTAATCTCTGGCGCGCATGGCGAAAGTAACTGTAAGCGTCTCGCCGCACAATTCATTCCGCGATTTTTTGGCAAATTTCCAGACCTTAACGAGGCAGCCATCGACGCCTTATTTGATCTGTGTGAGGATACCGATTTGAATGTACGCCCCTTATGATTAGCGCACCATTTTGGCTTTGATTTAACGAGAAGACTGATAGAATTTCTGTACGATTGTTGACTGTCAAAAGGTGCGATTGACTGTTATAAAATACTTACCCAATGTTGTCAAAGAATCTGACAAGGTTGCGGTACGAATAGCTGATGCATTAGTACAATTACTACAAAATGGTAAAATATTAGATATTGATTTACAGTTTATCATCAACCATCAAACTTTTCATGCAAAGATTTATCAATTGTAACCGAATTACATCTTCACAGAAACGTCTCAGGAAATAGCCGCCGTAAAGAAGGCATTAGAGCAAGTAATTCGGTTATCACCTCGCGATTCCATTGTCGCCATATTTCAACAATCATTAAAGGGTTCCTCTGAAGTCCGTAACAGAACGATTAATTTTCTATCCAATGACTTAAATCGATTCAAAAACGATCTATTTGAGAAAGGAGATGACGTTGAAGCCTGTTTTGCCAATGAAGTGAAAAAAGTATGAACGCTTTCTTTTGATTTCATTATTTCGAATGAAAATTAATCGACTGCAAATTTCAAATTGACACATAGGCACTTCGTGACTCTACATTGTCAGAATTTGAGACGTTCCTAAAGATGCTTTTATCCCTCAAGATGTATCAATTAGAGAAAAAGGAGAACCTGAAAGAATTGATAAATGCATTGATTGAATCGATTGCTACCGAGAGCGAGGACCTTGATGTAAAGATTTTTTTTTCTTCGTATGCTTTGCAATATCTAAACCTGCCATCATATAAACATTCTATTGTATAAACATGAAATTGCTTTTTAATTTAATTTAGCCTACTAACTATGTAAAAGTTCAAAAGTTTATTTTATGCGGTAAAACACTAATGCCATATTTTGAGGTAAAAAAATTTGAAAAGTCCCTTTTTTTTAGAAAAAGAAATTATTTTAAGAAACTTCAATTTGTGGATAGAAAGGAGTCAAGAGTACGCCATTCCT